GAATGCGGGGAAGCGTCGGCGCCAAAGCGAGGTCCAGCTGGCACCAGATCTGCTCCGAATCAAATCCGTCCACGAAAAGCCCAGGAAGTTTCCTTTCTGGGACTAACGACTGAGATTTGGTAAAACCGGACGCTCCTTTTTTCCCTCCGCCAGACGCGGCGTCGGATGCTGCGCCCTTTGCTGCGTCCAGGTTGGACATTCCGGAGTCAAAGAGCGCCTTCACGGCGGTGCGAAGCTGCTGCGAAATTTCCGTGGAAGGTGCGAGGAAGGAGGTGGGTGGGAGATCGCCGAGCGACTCGAGAACGGCTTTCGTGGCCTCATCCTCGTTAGTAGCTGCACCTGCCCTCGTAACCTCATCCTCGTTAGTGACTGCAGCTGGCATGACGCGCTTAACGGGTGTACAGGCTGTAATAGCACGGAACACAGGCTGCAGTCACGAAAGCGTAACTACTGACTTCAATTTCGAAAAAGGGCGCTCAGAGTTAGAACTGTCTCACGCAGGCGTCGACTAGATGGATAGCAACGTGTTCGCTGTTACTCTTTCTACCGGAGCGTTGCGTTGCGTTGCGCTGTGTTGTGTTGCGATGCGACCCTAGAATCGTGGCTTCTAGCCTGCTTGTTTTGTGTGGGACGGCACGGGAGAAGAGTGACAGGAATGCTGGGGGGTTATTGGGGTGAACAGCAGATATTAGGGTTGCAGGTGTAAGGGGTTGGAAAACGGGGTTTATTCCATCTCTTTGTTGATATATAAGAGAAATGTTCCGATGCACATAAGACCAGTACACAAAATGCAATTATGGATTGCGTTTTTGTCTCAACCTTTACGCTGATACTTCATAACGCGTATCAGGCAACTATTTGTGCCCCCGCATTTCCATCGGCTGCTTGCAATTTTCCTTACAGCTGATCAAGCTATTCCTTCATAACTATCATTCCGCCCTATTCCTATCCCTGACAGGCTCTAGTGTCAGGGAGGTTGTAAAGCTTGTCATCTCGCCGTCACCTCGCCAACAGTTTTCGCCGTCATCTCGCCAGCATTTCGCCGCCGTCATTGCGTCATCCGACCGCTCGTCATGATTCGCCGCCTCCTCGTCCGCTTGCTCCTTCCGAAGCCGCCGCCTATTCGCGCGAACCCAAGTCCAGAAATCTCAGCCGGAGTGCATGGAACTTCGACTTCTTACCGCGATGACCTTTTATCGCGTTCAGGCGGCGCGCCGTTGGCACCAGACATGGAGTACCTGCGCCTCTTCCGCCAACGTACGGCGGAGTTCCGCGCGCTCGGCGGGGGGGAAGCCCTGGTGGGGAAAAAACGGGCGGAGACTGGCGGAGGGGGGGAAAGGAAGCAGCGCCGCTGAACCCGCTGCTCGTGCCTTACATTGACTTGAACATCGCTCCTCTCCGAAGGATATACGCCTGGTACGTCCTCTTGTTACCACGTGTTTTGAGACGTCTCAATATACGCCTGGTACGTCCTCTTGTTACCACCTACTAGATACAGGCTTCACTCTGCGGCCGCGGCTGCGGCTGCGGACGCTGCTCGTGCCGTGCCCTACATTGACTTGAACATCGCTCCGCAGAATATACGTCTGGTGCGCCATTTTGTGGGTCCCGTCCCGAGGCTGCTAAATATAGGCGTCGGAGGAATCCCTATGGCTGCTCCAGCTCCAGCTCCAGCTGCGGCTGCGACTCCGGGCTGCGGACGCTACTCGCGGTGCCCTACATTGACGTCACTATCGCCCCGCTGCGCAGCGCAGCAACCCAATTCTTGGACGGATTATTGCTTCTCAGAGCATTTATCAACCCTGCACCTCCTCTTCGTGGCCCTCCCCTCCCCTCCACCCCTGCATCCGTCCGTCCATTCTTCCCTCCGCCTTTCCGCCCCTCCGCCCTCCCTCCCCCACAGGGCGGTGCCCACAGAAGCAGCACTGGCAGCTGTGAAGGCGGCTGCAGGAGGAGGGGGGGTGGTGGAGGTGAGCGATGGGACGGGAACAAGGGGAAAAGGGGGCTGGTGGAAAGGGAAGACCTGTTTTGAGGGAGTGGAGTGGAGTGGAGTGGAGTGGGATGAGGAGGGTATGTTGTGTGCGTGATGGCGATGATGGTATGCGTTTGAGTGATGTTGACGATGTGTGTGACTGAGTGAGTGAGTGGGTGACTGAGTGAGTGACTGAGTGAGTGACTGAGTGAGTGACTGAGTGAGTGACTGAGTGAGTGACTGAGTGAGTGACTGAGTGAGTGACTGAGTGAGTGACTGAGTGAGTGACTGAGTGAGTGACTGAGTGAGTGACTGAGTGAGTGACTGAGTGAGTGACTGAGTGAGTGACTGAGTGAGTGACTGAGTGAGTGACTGAGTGAGTGACTGAGTGAGTGACTGAGTGAGTGACTGAGTGAGTGACTGAGTGAGTGACTGAGTGAGTGACTGAGTGAGTGACTGAGTGAGTGACTGAGTGAGTGACTGAGTGAGTGACTGAGTGAGTGACTGAGTGAGTGACTGAGTGAGTGACTGAGTGAGTGACTGAGTGAGTGACTGAGTGAGTGACTGAGTGAGTGACTGAGTGAGTGACTGAGTGAGTGACTGAGTGAGTGACTGAGTGAGTGACTGAGTGAGTGACTGAGTGAGTGACTGAGTGAGTGACTGAGTGAGTGACTGAGTGAGTGACTGAGTGAGTGACTGAGTGAGTGACTGAGTCTCAGCACCAGGAGGCTATGCGTTGCTGTTCCTGTGCTGTTCAGGAGCACTAGGCACGTTCCTGGGCTACGCTGCTGCTTATTATGGAGAAGCCTCGAAAGAGGACATGTCATGTCATCTCTTGTTGAATGCTCACTGCAATCATGGCAGGTGGGCGCAGGAACGGGTTACTGGGCTGCCCTGCTGAGGAGGAGAGGCGTTGACGTGGCAGCGTATGATTGGACGCCCCTGGACAGTGTTGAAAGCAGCAGCAACAGCAATGGCAGCAGCAGCAACGATGGCAGCGGTAGCAGCATGAGAGGCAGCAGCAATAGGAGCAGGAGCGACAGCAGCAGCAATGGCTTCAGCAGCCGAGTGAACGGACACCATGCCCTTGCCATGGCATCGGCAAGTCAGCTGGTCAACGTGCCGCCTTTCACTCATGTGGCTGGTGAGCACCTCTCTTGCAGCGTTTGTTTCTATGACGTCTATTGCTGGTTACTAAATTACAGCTGTTCACTCAGATCAACCTTTCACTCAGATCAACCTTTCACTCTCTTTAAAACCGGAGGTCCAAGACTCTCAAACTTAGGAAGGTTGGTTGGGCCAAGAAACGCGACTGGCTCGCGAACCAGGGTGTTGTCGAAATCAGTGGTTGTGGGTCGCAAAATATGAAAACCTCGCGAGTGTAACCAGATCTGGAATGCAACGTCGAAATTCGTTCGCAGATAGTTTCGGATGGGCACGGAATCTGTTCACGAAACCTTCACTGCTATCGTCCAGTAATTTCGTGTGGCTGCTATTGTCCCGACGATTTTCGAAGTTAGGAGGTTTGAGTCAGTATCTACTGGGTCACACCCAACCAAGGTTAGGAAGTTCGAGGCAGTTTCGGGCTGTTTGGGACTCCGGTTTTAACCATTCCACCCTCCCTCTGGCTCCTTGTTCATGTGCGCCCTTGGTTTCCTCAGAAGGAGATGCCTTGGTGTCTGCGCTGCATCCTGACCGTTCGTTGCTGTTGTGCTGGCCTCCACCGGAAGACGCAGAAACATCTGATGCAGCAACTGCAAGTGGAGGAGGAGAAGCAGCAGGGGGGCCACTGGCAGAAGCAGCGGGGGGAGCATCAGCATCAGCTGCTGAGGTGCCATCACTAGCGGCCGACGCCTTACTCCACTACAGGGGCTCCACTCTTGTGTTTATTGGGGAACTGCCACTTCACTTCCTACAAGCACACTCTGTACAGTCAAGTGACCCTTCCCTACAGGAACACTCTTCTCAGTCGCCCTCATACCAGCCGCAGACCGCCGGCCCGCGGTTTTTCTTCCTTTTGGAGAAGGAATGGGTGCTGGTTGAACACGTGGCTCTTCCCAATTGGCCAGGGACACACGACTGTCTGACAGTCTGGAGAAGGAACGGAAGTTTCAGTAGGGATGGAGCCTTTGCAGGAGGCACCAGCAAGTGTGACAATAATGGAGTTACTATTAAGCTACATGACAACTTCGAAGGCAGTGACAGAAGTGGAAGCATAACAGAAGTAGACGACAGAGAATCGCCTCAATTCCCTTGGTCCTCCGACAGGGAAGATTTAATCAAACGCCAGCGGCAGCACTGGGACGATGTGGTCATGGGAAGGCTTTTCTTATCCCCATCCATTGCGCGTGCCGGATCAGCAGCGGATGCGGAGCTTGTTGAAGCAATGGAGGTGGGGGCGGTGAGAGGTTGGCTCCTTAGAACATCGTGGTCGAGCCTGATGGGTGGTCTTCCATTGCTCCTTATTTCCCCTTGGTATAAGAGGTTCAGTAGAAGGAGAATAGGTGTTTAGTTCGTGTTCCACGAAAATGAATCGCCCTCTGTGTCATTGCTTATAGGCGCACGAAATAACGGGTACGCACACCTGGCTCAGCACTTTTGGGAAGGTTCACGCGCCTCCCACAGCAATGTACACCTGGCACTCACTCGTGCCGCCACTTCAGGTCGCGCTTTCTCGACGGTCCAGCTGGCATCTCCTTTGGTTCGCGAGAAATGTTACGGAGGTCGCGAAAATTCGTTCACCCTCGTCTGGTTCGCTCACACCCCGATTTCATCCCCTCCCCCCGCTTCTGGTCTCCAGCTGTGATCGATCTCTCATTTCGATCATTTCCCCTCAAAGCTTTGGGACCGTAACCTTGCTCTCCCTTTCTTTCCACCCAGTCCATCACTCGCCATCGATTGCGTTCTGCCTGGCATCACTCTCGCGCCAGAGGGCCTCAATACCTACACTGCGAATTCGCCAGACGCAGCGCATCGTTTGCACTTCGCGCATTGTCAGGTCACCAGGAGCTCTCCGTTTCACGGGATCATGGCGTCAGTTGCTTCTGTCGCTGCGACTGTCACCGCGTCCGCTCTCCCCCTTAGACTGGCCTCGACCACCAAGCCTTCCTCAGTCGCGCAGTCGATGCAAGCAGATTGTCACGCTGCGATGGCATCACTAGCCATTCGGATGGACTCTCAGGGCGTTCGCTTGCGCGGTAGGCTCGGCAGCTCGTTCGGGGGAGCGTCGGTGCTGGAGCGGCCGGGATTGGACCAATCAGGAGGAGCGGACGGCGCTCCGAAGACGGACGCCGGCGGAGAGATGGGGCAGCTGAAGCAGCGGATGCGGAACGGAGGGGGGGATCGGTACCGCGTGCTTCTGTTGGACCACGAAAAGCACACGGAGGATGGAGGTGAGCGAGTGCTGAATTTGTGCTGTCGCCTCGCTTCAGCTTGTTTCTGTGGTGACCGAAAACCTTTTCTTTGTTTTGAAGCGGAGGAATTTAGGGAGGAAAGGGGGTGGGGGAATGGTCGGGGGGGGGGGGGGGGGGGGGGAGGGTGAGGAGGAGGGAGCGAGGGGGAGGGTTTGCGTCGTCCTTATATCTTTGTTCTATGTTCGGTTGTCACGAGTTCTTTTCATTTTTTTCTCACTCTTCTTGCAACCGTTCCCCATGTGCTCCCTCTGTGCATTAGTGGCGAAGGTGCTGCCAACAGTGGTGCCGTCAGTCACAGCGAACGACGCGCGGCGGGTGTTCAACGAGTCCAGAGAGCTGGGTCAGGGGCTCGTCTGCGTCGCCATCAAGGTTAGGAAGTTCTTTCATTACCTTGAGCTACATTTTTGCTTGCTCGTTTTCTATAATACATGCATGGTTATGATGGGAGTTGTGGCGGCAGAATGAGAGTTCTGGAAGGGATGTGTGATGGTTGGAAAGGAGTTTGTTGGGGTACTTTTAACACCAGTTCCATACTTGCATGACGGCTGTTTTCTTTCCGTGTGCAGGAACATGCTGAGTTCTACGCGCAGCACATGGCCATGAAAGGCCTGCGTTCCACTATCCAGCCTGATGGCCTTGTCATTTAAAACCCGCAGGCCAAGAACTTCAACGTTCGGAAGGTTGGTTGGGACTAAGAACACAATTGGCCAGGATTTTGGGTGGAGGGCCCAACTCAGGTTAGGGAGGTCGAACCAATTTGGGCCTCTTGGCCCTCCGGTTTTAATTGGAATAAGGGTTGAATCTCTCTAGATGGTGGCGTAGAAAAGTTTCTCCTATCATTTATGTATTTAGTTCTAATGGATACACGCTTATAGAGGTCACCGATTGAATGATCTCATTTCTCTTGATCCTAGAATCCAACAAGTTCATGAGGTATGACACAGTCATACTCAGCTGCACTGGTTTTGCTTCTGGCTTGTAATAGGCAGTATGTGGGTTGGGCTTACGACAGGACTTCTCGTACGTATTAGCAGAGTTTGGTTCGGTGTACTGCAGATATCGAATTATTGCCCTGAAGGTGCAGGCCAAGGCTGCTCTGACACACACCCATTCCCGAACCTGACAGTTCTCCCTCCATCCCATACCATTTCTCAGCTCGGCCTCGCGCGTGATATGGGAACAGGTGTGGACATTCGGCAAGATCGAAGTTCAGGCCTGCTCTCCGCCACTGTCCTGTCAAGGAATTCCCCCATTATTTTCCCGAACTTCCCGCGCCCGTTCCCCCATTCCTTGCTTCGCCCCTCCGCTTCTTTTCTTCTGCCACTCCGATCCCCGCTTCCACATAGTTCTTCTGCTTCCCGCTCCCCGTCGCACCGTCTTCTTCCCCCACCCCCCGCAACTCGAAATAGCTCCGCTCATCCCCCTCCCCATGGCCAGATTCACATCCACAGACCCGGCCTGGAGTTCCCATGACCTTCAGTCAGTAGAAAGGAAATCCCGAAGTTTTTTTGTAGCACAACGTTTCAGCAGCAGCAGAAGTAATCTCATTTGTGTTGGCCGCCATGGCTGCGTTAGGAAGGCTCGCCTGCGGGCTTGCTATATTCTGTTTGCTGTCCGGTCTGCTTGCCGAGGCAGCTGTGCACGAGTATAACGGTGGGAAGTTCTTCCAAGCGTCCGATGCTTTCCTCTTCCGAGGCGGACGCGAAGGTCTGTTCGCGTCTACGCCCGAAGCAGTTCGCCGCTGGGTGGACATCCCGAGAGGAGTGGCAAACGGAAAAGCGTACATCCGGTAGGGGAGATATCTCGGTAGTCTAGATGCATCCGCAGATTGAAAAGCGTACATCTCATTGGATGCGATGCGTAGCTTCTTGAATGGCGAATAAACGCAGCTCTTATAGATTTTTTTTATTCTATCGTTCTTCATCGATCGCCAGAGAGCACACCTCGACATTCTTCTCGGAGGCTGCTGCATGGCTGTTCCTATTGATAATTGCCGGCTCCTGTTAGGACTCTGCATTGCCGTCGCGCACGCAAGTTTCGTCGACTGATTCGTGGTTGATTTTATCAATTATGTGTCGGTCTTCCGTTTGGGTTGAAATTTGCATCGTCGTGCACGCAGGTTCGACAACCTGAAGTTCCATCGGCCGCTCTCCGAGGCTCAGGTGGCACCGATCGCCGGGCAGACGGGGAGAATCGAGGCTCTGTTGTTCGAGGTGAAGGACCGCGACCGCATAGGCTATGCGTCGGCTTCCAACATCCGCGCGTTCTGCTGCTCCCCCGAGCTCGTTCAACGGACGGGATGCAACCCTGGACACATCATCGTGCGGCCGAGAGACGGCGATAACCAGGTACGGGCAGCTTTATTTCGGATCCGATAACCTTATATCCAGATTCGCGTGCATGTGTAAGAATCCAAAGCGATGTTCTTTTCTCGTCTAGTGTAAATGAGCCCACGCCGAGCATTAACATCAAGTTACAGCGACCGCGGAAGAGTGTTTCTGGCGTGTCGAGAATGATTTTCATCAATCTACACTTTCAGTGGCGCATTAAATGAAAAATAAAGTCTACCAACGGTGACACGGCGGCGGGTGGCCGTGGCTCCTCCATCGCAAGTCCATATCACGGCGGCCGGTCCGACATTGGCCACCTCTAGACGATGTCCTATGTTCGTTCATTTTCCCTTTCACCCGGAATGATCCACAGTGGCCGCGCGTGGTGGAAATTAACTTCATCGGAAACGACACTGCGGTGGCAGTGGCACCGTCGGAGATCCACATCACGGCGCCGGGAATGTACTACCTGTGGTTCGTCATCTGCGACAAGAGCCTCGCTGGCGTGGCCGTCACGGGCACGACTGTGTGGAAGAACCCGGGCGGGTACCTGCCGGGCATGATGATGCCTTACCTCAACTTCTACGCACTCATGTCCATGGTAAGTGATATGACTTGTGCAATTGTAACGAGGTAACTTCTGAGACGATTTTCAAAACACTGGCACGATGACCTTGTGGAAGGACCCGGGCAGGTATCTGCCCGGCATGATGATGCCTTACCTCTACGCGCTCATGTCCGTGGTGAGCCTGTCCTTGTGACTAAATTAGAAGTAGTCTAAAAGCATAAGGAACTGACCTGTACGTGTTGGCGTCCATGGTGAGTCAACCGTTTTGTGTGCCTGCCTGGCCAATATCCCTTCCAGGAGCACCTGGTGTGGTGTGGTTCCTGCACTACGCGCGCTTCTTGCGCAAAAGTCCCCCCCTCCTCCCCCCCGGCCCGCACTCCCTCCCCCCTTTCTCCATCCCTCCCCCATCCCTCCAGGCTTACCTGGTGCTGGGCGTGGTGTGGTTCATGCAGTACGCGCGCTTCTGGCGCGACATCCTGCAGCTGCAGAACTGCATCACGGCCGTCATCGCGCTCTCCATGCTCGAGATGGCCACCTGGTACTTCGACTACGTCAACTTCAATGCTGGCGGCTTCCGCCCCTACGGGACCACCATCTGGGCGGCGACGCTCGGCGCGCTGCGCAAGGCGGTGTCTCGTGTGCTGGTGCTGATCGTGGCGATGGGGTACGGCGTCGTGCGGCCGACGCTGGGAGGGCTGTCAGGGAAGGTACGCCCATGGTGGAGGAATGCGGGTGGGCTTTTGAGGCGCCTCAAAAGTCTGTCAGGGAAGGTACGCCCACGGTGGAGGAATGCGGGTGGGCTTTTGGTAGATGCTGTTTGGATTGACGTTTGGGAAAGGAGTGGGGAGATGCTTGGTCAGGATGACGGGGGTATCATGAGTGCTCGGGCTGGTGATATGAGACAGAAGAGTGCGAAAAACAAGGTGTCAGGGAGGACAGGGAGGTGTGGAGAATGTGGGAAGCAAGGGAAATGTCTGGAAGTGAAGGAAAGAGTGAAGAGTGTGGACAGCAAAGTGACAGGGGTGGAAGGGAGGGGAGTGTGGAAAGCACGGGTGGAAGGGAAGGAGAGAGGGGGTGAGAGGGAAGCTGAAGGAGGGTCAAGGGGACGGAGGATGGAATGCAAAGCGAGGAAGCTCGGGTAGGGAAGTGATAGGGATGGGTATGCGGCGGAAGGAACTGAGAGGGGGAAAAGATGGAAGAGACAGGCATTGCCATGGAGTATAAAGATTACTCTCACTAACAGTACTGCATGGTGCTCCGTGCTGCCCCCTTCATCTCTCCTCTCCGTACCTTTCCCCCTTCTCCCTTCCTCCTCTTTAAATAACAGTACTTCTGTGCGGTGGAGCTGCAGGACGTGATGCAGAACGTGGGGGCGCCTCTTCCTGCCTGTTCCTCTCTATAACGCTCCTCCCTGACGCCCCTCCACACCCCTCCACACCCCTCCACACCCTCCCGCCTCCTTCTCCACCCTCTCTCACCAGGTGATGGCTTTGGGAGCGGGGTACTTGTGCGCAGTGGAGCTGTTGGACGTGGGGGCGATTGACGACCTGAACAGCAGCGAGCGCCTCTTCCTCGTGCTGCCCCTTCACCTCTCATCTCCTCACTTCCCCCCTCTTCCTCCCTCCTTGTAGGTGATGGCGCTAGGTGCGGGGTACTTCTGCGCAGTGGAGCTGTTAGACGTGATGCAGAACGTGGGGGCGATTGATGATCTCAACAGCAGCGAGCGCCTCTTCCTCGTGCTGCCTGTCGCTGTGCTGGACGCCATCTTCATCCTCTGGATCTTCTCCTCGCTCTCCAAGACCCTGTCTCTGCTGCAGGTACAGTCACAGCGGGTGCTGTTGTTGCAGGTACGGTTTTTATTGGGGGAGTGGTCGCTGTCGTTGCAAGTTCCAGTTATAAGATTAGGAGAGATGGGGGGAAACAGCTTTTGGGAATGGGGATGATGACTGCCTTGGTAGTCGGGTCATCCTGCCTGGTTGAGTGACTAAGCAGGCACTGATTGTGCCATCCTGCGACGTGTCAAAAAAACACTTCTGTGACACTAAGCGGGCATGTTTGGTGTCTGTTCATGCCCGTTCTTGCCCATTCATGTCCTTTCATATCCCTTGCCTCTCCTCCCAACCCCCCTCCCCACCAGCAAAGCGCTCAGTGTCGAAGCTGGAGCTGTATCGCGAGTTCTAACTGCATGGCGCTGGCTGTTCTGTTGACTTCCAGTCCTGTCATGCCCAATCATGCCGTTTTATCATGCCCCACCCCAGCTGCTCCCTTCCCCCGCCGCTTTACCTATCAGACCAAGCACTCAGGGTCGAAGCTGGAGCTGTACCGCAAGTTCACGAATGGCATGTCGCCAGCTGTGCTGTTGAATTTCAGTCCTTTCATGCCCAATCATGCGGTTCTATCATGCCCCAACCCCCCTGCTTCATTTCCCGACTTGTACCTATCAGACGAAGCGCTCGGGCTCAAAGCTGGAGCTGTACCACTAGTTCACGAACGGCATGGCTCTGGCCGTGCTTGTGTTGGTTGCATGGAAAGGCGTTTTCCAATGTTCCATTCTCCCTTGCCCTTGCTCACTGCCAACCCATTCTCCTTTGCCCACCAGACGAAGCGCTCAGTGTCGGAGCTGGAGCAGCTGTACCGCAAGTTCACGAATGGCATGGCGCTGGCTGTGCTGTTGACTTTCGGTCCTTTCATGCCCAATCATGCCCCAACCCCCCTGCTTCATTTCCCGCCTTGTACCTATCAGACGAAG